TGGGGGAATTAACAGTAACAGAAGCAATTGCTGGTCAGTGCAATGGGTCATAGAATCCAGACTGGTTTGTGTTGGAAGGGACCTTAAAGCTCATCCAGTTCCAGCCCCTGCCACGGGCAGGGACCCCTTCCACTAGAGCAGCTTGCTCCAAGCCCCTGTGTCCAACCTGGCCTTGAACACTGCCAGGGATGGGGCAGCCACAGCTTCTCTGGGCACCCTGTGCCAGCGCCTCAGCACCCTCACAGGGAAGAGCTTCTGCCCAAGAGCTCAGCTCAGTCTCCCCTCTGGCAGGTTAAAGCCATTCCCCTTGGCCTGGCCCTACAGGCCCTTGTCCCAAGCCCCTCTCCAGCTTTCCTGCAGCCCCTTTAGGCACTGGAGCTGCTCTCAGGTCTCCCCTTCAGGAGCCTTCTCTTCTCCAGGCTGCCCCAGCCCAGCTCTCTCAGCCTGGCTCCAGAGCAGAGCTGCTCCAGCCCTCGCAGTGTCTCCATGGCCTCCTCTGGCCTCGCTCCAACAGCTCCACGTCCCTCATTGTGCTGCTGCCCCAGAGCTGGATCAGGGCTGCAGGGGGGGTCTCCCCTTCACACAGCAGAGGGGCAGGATCCCCTCCCTGAGCTGCTGCTCACGCTCTGGGGGTGCAGCCCAGCACACGGGGGCGTTCTGGGCTCAAGCACACACTGAAGCCGGGTCATGGGGAGCTTCTCCTCACCCAACACCCCAAGTCCTCCTCAGGCTGCTCCATCCGGTCTCCCCAGCAGGGCACCGCCGGGGCTCTCCCGCAGCTCCTTCCCCATTCCTGGCCCTGCAGTGCCCTCTCCCGGGAGCTGCCCGCGGGATCGCTTCCCCTTGCTCCGCTCGGTGTCCGTGGGCAGCGCCCGAAGGAACCTTCCCGTGTTTCTCGAGGCGGATGCGCGCCGCGGGCAGGCAGCGGTGAGGGGGTGGCTGTGACCCGGGATGCGCGCTGGGCTGTGCGATGCTGACTGAAGGCTGGACCGCCCTCACCGCAGCAATGGGGAGGTGACCCAGGACCCATGGAACGGTTTGGGTTGGAAGTGACCTTAAGGCTCATCCAGTTCCATCCCCCTGCCGTGGGCAGGGAACAGCCTCTGGTTTCTGACCAAGGCTTCTCCTTGGGGCTGCACTGGCAGAGGGGGAGCAGGGAGATGTGGGGCAAGCTGCTCCCCCAGCCCCACTCCTTTTCATCCTCCAAGCTCATGGCTGCAGGAATGGGGATTCCCTAAGGAGAAGCATACCCTGCTTGCTTAAACCATGGCAGATGGCCATGAAATGTGGAAGAAGGGTGAGACTCATCTCTCTCCCTATGTACAGCGCTGTATCAACTGGTCCATGGCGCCCGCAGCACCCAGCCCTGCCGTGGAGAACAGGCAGCAGAGCTGCTGCAGCAATGGGTGCAAAGAGGCACAGAGTTTGTTGCTGCTGCTTTGAAGCGTGGTGTGGAAGCTCTTCATCCACACAGCACAGCTTGGTGTTGTGCTGGTTCCCCATGGTCAGGCCGTGGGATGAACCCATCTGGTCCCCCCTCCCTGCCTGCCCGAGGGATGCAGCTCTCTCCAAAGTGATGCTCAGAGCTCTTCTCTGAGCCACAGGACCCAGTGGGGATTGCCTGGCAGTTTCCCTGCCTGGGTTGATGTTTTGAGCTCATATTCTGATGCTTGGGATCAGTTTTGTACCTGGTGGGATGTGAACCCCAGCAGAAAGTGCTGGTCCTTGGCACATCTCAATGGGCTTCGCACCATGAGTCACTCGGGAAGGGACAGCAGTGTTTCTTGGGGGCAAAAGTGGGCTTAAAATAACTCTGATCAAGCCGAGCAGCCTTGGAAGTGATGGTGAAGGAGCTATCCCAGGGTGCAGGAGCAGGATGAGGCCCTGGCTTCACTGGAGGCTCACCAGCATCCTGCAGACCTGCTGCTCCCCATTTGCATGGTGCCTCTCTTCACCCTGTTTCCCCACACCAGCACTTGTTGGGGAATGATGCTTTCCCTCGTTTTTGATGTTTCAAAGCTGTGTGCTAAAGGGTTCAGGCTGGGAGATGGGGAAAGACAAGCACAAACCTTGCAACCTCATCCTGTGGGGCCCGGTATGAAGTTGGCTTCATCTTTATACTTGGACATGCTGGATGTTGTGGGTCTGGAGGCTTTTCTGCTCCTTTATGATGAGGCTTGAAGCTTTCTAAAGCCCATCCTCTGTGCTTCCAGCAATTGATGCTTCTGCTTCTTCTCACTGTAAGAGGGAAATGATGCTCACCCATGGCCATGGGGTCTGTGCCAGCACCCTGCAGTCCCCTAAGAGATCCAAGGCCTGGATCAGTTTGGGTCACCTCCTCCTTCTCCCTTCACCTCCGTTATCATTCCTGGCAGTGCCAGCACCACAATCAGTGCTGTGTTTGGAGTTAACCTTGCAGGGATATCACTACCTCCATGAGTCACCTGCTCTCAAGGCTCCGCAGCAGCAACCATCTGGCAGGGAGGAGCAACATCCAAAGGGAGCACAGCCCCTTCTTAGAATCATAAAATAGTTTGGGTTGGAAAGGACCCTAAGATCATCCAGTTCCAACCCCCTGCCATGGCCAGGGACACCTCACACTAAACCATGGCACCCAAGGTTCTGTCCAACCTGGCCTTGAACACAGCCAGGGATGGAGCACTCACAACTTCCCTGGGCAACCCATTCCAGTGCCTCACCACCCTGACAGGAAAGAACTTCTGCCTTATATCCAATCTAAACTTCCCCTGTTTCAGTTTTAACCCGTTACCCCTTGTCCTATCACTACAGTCCCTGATGAAGAGTCCATCCCCAGCATCCTTGTAGCCCCCTTCAGACACTGGAAGCTGCTCTGAGGTCTCCACGCAGCTTCTCTTCTCCAGGCTGAACAGCCCCAGCTTTCCCAGCCCATCAAATGCTGCCAACTTGGACAGGACTCAGGATGGGGGGATGTGAACGTGTGTGTTTCCCCATGAGATACTCATCCCATGGCAGGCCATGGGCAGGGATCCCATCCCCACTCCCTGTTCGTGCCATTCTCCCCTTGCTTTTATCTTCTCCTGACATAAACAGGGGCAAAACTCAACTGGGTTCAAGGCTGAGCTGCCCTGCTGATAGCCTTGGGATGGGTTTGCTCAGCACCAGTCCCCTGCAGGAATGCTCTTTATGGGCTCATAAACCCCAAGGCTGGGCTCGTTGGTGGCAGGGCTCCAGCAGATCCTCCATTGCCAGCAGGGCCAGGACACTCACTGGGACATGGGGACACTGGGAGAGGGGCGAGATAAGCTGCTGAACTCTGAGCTGAAGATACTGCAGCCAGAGCAGCCTCTGCTCAGTGAGTCCTTTGCAAGGCGTCTGCAGGGCAAACCTCGCTGCTGGAGGCTTTGCAGCCCTATAGACAGAAGAAAGGAAACCCACGGTGTTATTTCAGGGCAGAGAACAGGGAGTTGTGGGGTTTCTTTGCTTGTTGTGAGGCAGGGCTTTGGCTGTGTTTGAAATGGCCTCTTCCATTTGACCTCCATTGCAAGGAGCTTCTGTTGTGCTGCTGATGTCCTGTCCCCATGTCCCACACCTACCCCTTGGAGCTCATCCACTCCATGGATGGATGGAAGAAAGGCAGCCCAGGAGGGATGGGGTGAAGCCTCTGTAGAAGGTACTTTGGGAAGCACTGGCCTTGCTGCTGGCTTCAAAGGCAAAGCAAAGCTTTGGGTCTCTCTATGCTCTCCACTACCCCCTAAACCTGGGCCACCCCATGCCATGCTCCCTTTGGTCCATGTTTCTTCAGGACCTTGGCATGGCCCCGTGATGGAGCCGGGCTCAACACAGCCACCAATATATAAGGAGGAAAATCCAGTGCATCAACTCATGAGGTTAAAACTGCAAGGTAAAGGGGAAAGCTGCTGTGGCTGCTCCCTGCATCTCCCCAGTGCCGTCAGCCTTCCCAGTCCCACCTTTTCCTGCCCTATTTATCGGGTGTCCAGGAATCAGACCTTAAAGCAAGTCATGTTTTTAGAGGCTGACGCACACCCCCCCTCTTGACTTCACTCCAGCTGAGTGTTACTTGGAACAGGATCAGCAATAAAACCAGTTGCTTCTACCTTCATACCTTGTGGTTCCTGCCTTCATTTGATATACCAAAAGGAGATGATGCTATTAGGATGCTAAGTCCTAAATTTAGGATTCTAAGGATTGGCACTACTGCTTTTAAACTGGGACTCTTACACATTGTCATTGGGTTTCAGTGTGAACCAGGCTGTCACCTCTGTAGCTCATCTTCTCATTTAAAGCTTCCCTTTGTACTGTGAGCTGCCAACCCCCTGCAGCTCCATCATTTCCACCCTGTTCTTCCCCTCTCTGTCTGCAAGAGCAGTTTGATGATTGTGCTTCCGAGGGATCCACCTTTTCATCCAACAGGACAAATCCCAATGGGAGAGACAGCAGGGATGAAAAGCCTGGTACAAGAGCAGTGATTCAGAGAGCTGGAGAGGCCGTTCCTTTAGCCTCTCATGCAGCAAAAGGCTTTTGAGGAGCAGGAGGGGCTTTGTTATGTCCCTTCCTGGCCTTAGAAACTTTATGGTGGGATTTTGCCTCTCTCAAAGGGGTTGGAACTGGGTGATCTCAAGGTCCTCTCCAACCCTATCGATTCTAAGTCCAGGGAGCATTGGAGATTATAAAGCACAAACTGCTTTTGTTGTACTGACCTGCCCCATCTCCCCCTCCAAAGCAACTTATGCCTCTAATAGGATTTAGCTATTAAAGCTCAAAACCATGCAAAAGATAAGTAATACAAGCAGGTTTTGCAGCAGGGCTTGCTCAGGGGTCCGGTGGAGGGGATTCCTACGGATCACAGCCATGGAGGAGGTTTAAGAGTTTCAATTCTGAGAGTCAGCAACATCTTGCCTAAATCTTTGTGATATTCCCGTGTGTCCCATCCTTTGGACACCTAATCCTGCCCAGGATCTGAATACAGCCTCCTCTGCTCTGAATGGGTGAGGGATGGAGCAAACCCAGGTTCACTCAGCATCCGGAGCAGCTGCCTGCATCCCATGATGGGATTTGGGTATTTCCAGCCTTGGGGACTGGGTTTATTAAGCCCGTTTGGCCCCTCCTACTGTGGGAGGGACGGCTCCAGCAGCCTTTCTAATAGTGAGTGTCACACAGCAGTGACACCATTCGGGTCCTGGAGTGTCACAGTCAGAGGACACAGCAGCCCAAGTGCAGCAGACAGAGGAGATAACCCCTGCATGTGCGTCCTCACGAGGTAAGTGACTTCCTTCCCCTTTCCTAACTCCTAAGGATGCTCCTGTGTGGTGGAAAGCACCTCTGCCTCCTCTTCCCTGCCTGCCCTAAAAGTTAGCACGAAAGGGGAGGGATTTCTTTGCCTTTTCCTATTTTTCCTTTGGACTTTTGAGCGTGTTGGTTGGGATGCGACAGCGGACGAGTGACCCGGATCCTGCCTAGGGGAAACAGCATGAAACAAAGCCCAAAGGGCCGGAGAATGGGGAGAAGTGGTAACAAAAAGGGGGTGATTTGGGAATGAGGGAAGTTTCTGGTGGTTTTTTGGGGGGGAGAAGGAGAATGTGCTCAGAAGTCTGATTCACTCATGGGGTCTTCATCGGATCAGTTGGCATTGACTTGTTGAGGGGACAAAGAGGAGCTGGGATGAGATGTGATGGTTGTGGGGTCTTCGTAGCCGGGGCGATGGTGGGAGGGAAACGGCAGCTGAGCATTTGCAATACTTGGAATAAAGGGCTGTTTCCATAGTAAAAGGGAGAAAGGAGCCTCTCTCTTTCTTCCCCCAAGCATGCCTGGCGTGTGAACGGGGAAGGCGGCTCGGGAACAAATAACCCAGGGAAGGGCAACATCTGGGAGCAGCTGTAAATAAGCAGGACCTGGTTGGGAAGGCTGGAAGCAGCCCTCTGGTCCAGCGTGTGTCCTGGTGCTGCACATCACCCTGGGGGTCCTGATGGGTGATTGGGGAGTGGATTGATTCCCTGATCATAGAATGGTTTTGGATGGAAAGGACCTTAAGATCATCCAGTTCCAACCCCTGCCATGGGCAGGGACGCCTCACACTAGACCCTGTTGTAGATGAAAGCAGGATTAAGCCCTCTTTGGTCTGTTGCTGTTGTCCAAATTCCACATTATTTATAGGAATAACCATAATATAGCATTGGAATGGGGGAATTTTCACTCCTAGGAAAGGCTGAGTTTTAATTCAGGGTCAGACACTCAGCTTATGTGAACGTGGGGAGCAGCATGAGGCCAGCTTTGGGTTGGATTGTGCTAACCTGGATGAGCTGGAAGTCCAGCCCGTGGTGCACAGCACCTCCTCTTCACTTATACCCTCTCATTGGGAACCCTGATCTCTCTATAGCATCTCCCAGGACTCATCCTCCAGCACACAAGACCGAGTGGAAGGGCAAGAGAGAACGGAAAGAACTTCCTAAAGCTGCTCAAAGCTTTTCAGCTGCATTTAGGGAAATAATAGTTAAAAAGAAGCATAAAATATCATGGGACCAGCTGGATTTTAATTAATAAAAGTGTTCTGCATGTGAAGGGAGCCAAAGCTGTCGCTTCCTTTCCAACTTTGCTGTGGAAATGATTAGGAGTTGGGTAAGATTTCCAGGGCAATTCGAAGTCTTTGCAGGGAAATGCAAGGCTGGGTTTCATGACCAGTCCTGTGACTTTCTTATGCCACAGCTGGCATTATTGGACTTACTGGACTGAGGAGGTGACTGAATGGTGTCTTTTGAGCTTTGTATTTGTTTCTGGTGAGGAAAACGCAGTTCTGTTGAGTTTGGTGGTCGCAGCTTGGGGCGAGCCTACCTGCAGCTCACAAAGTGCCCCTGTTACAAGTCGCAACCCTAGAGTCCTGCTTAGCGTGATGAAGTCCCATCGTGATGAGGTGCTCCTCGTTTCCTTGCCATGTGAGAGCCCAGAAGCCCTCCTTCAGGCAAACACTTCTTGTTGTGTGCAATCAATGGCTTCAGAAGTGCCCATCAGCTGAGACACGTGTGCTCCTGCCTCCTCGCAGCCTGAAGCGCATCCTGCCCCGTGGCAAAGTCCCAGCTCAGTGGCTTTGAGTGCGGGACAGCTTTGCAGTGATTGATTCCTACAGACTGGAATGCTCTCTGTGTGTGCAGCAATAAGCCTGGCTTCAGTCCAGACCTCGGTCTTGGGATCATTGAAAGGAGGTCTGCACCTGGTCTTGGAGTGACCACCTATGGTTTGGCTTATAGAGCATCAATGTGCTGTGTGATAAATGGGGGTCTTGGGGTACCTTTCAGAAGGGCAGATGGGATAAGAAGTTGGGAATTCTGGGCTCCAGATCTTACTGGAAGTAAAGGAAGGGAAGCCAGTGTGGGTAGAACAGCTTGCAGACAGGACCTGTGGTGCACCCTGGACCATGCCTTCCTAACAGGATGAGCCCTGAGGGCAGCACAAGCTTGGCTCCACGTCACAACATCTGTTCCAGCTGTGGGCACCTTGTGTGAGAGCCAAGCAGCCTGCCTGAAGGTGCTCGTCTCTTCAGCATCTTGTGCTCATCCTGTTCTTCATGTGCTGGGCACTGCTGTCACAGCAGGGTTCAAGGAGGACCCATGGCTGGCTGATTGGTGGTGGCTGAGGGGCTGGTGTTTTATAAGGTCCCAGTAAATGGAGGGTGGCCTTGGCTCGTGTCGCCTGTGACTCTCTTCGTACACAGGATGTTGGCATCTGGTGCATTTATAAAAGCAGGGAAGAAGAAACAGTGATAGATAGAGCCACAGAACCACAGAATTCCAGGTTAGAAAGACCTCAAGGATCATCTGCTCCAACCTTTCTTGGCAAAGCATGACCTAGGCATGATGTCCCAGCACCCTGTCCACCCCATCCTTAACAGTGTCCAGCACTGGGGAGTCACCACTTCCTTGGGGAGATCATTCCAATGGTTGATTGTTCCCAGTGTGGAAAATCTCTTCTTGTGCCCAACTGGAATCTCCCCAGGAGTAACTTGTGCCCATCACCCCTCGTCTTTCCCTTGTGACTCTGTTAAGAGAGAGTCTCCATCTTCTTTGTAGACACCCTTTAACTACTGGAACAACACATAACTGGACGCTGGAACAATGAGTAAGTGGGTGCTTCAGGGGGTTGAACAGACTGAACATGCTCACGTCCTGGGCTCGGACTGTCCTGTTCTCCTGCCATTTGCCTTGCCTTTGTGCTGTCCCCAGGGAAGATGCTGTGTGAAGCGTGATGAGGACCTGCTCTCAGGGTCAGGATGGCCTCTCCATGCTCCTGGCCCACGTGCTTTCTGCTGGTTGGGCTGCTGTAGTGCCTGTGTAGCTGTAGCAAGGCAGAGATGAGGAACCCTGTCCTGGGAGTCATTCAGTGCAGGTCTGGTGCTAAGGGAAGGCTCCTGGGGCTGCCCTAGTGTGAAAGCTCTTTTCTTTAGGTGACAAGAGCAAGAAATTAACCATGGAACTACATGGTCTTAAGGTCCTTTCCAACCCTAACTATTCCATGATTCTATGATTCTGTGATTCTATGGTTCTATGATAGTGATACTCTATAATAGCAGCAGGCAGGGAGATAGATAGGGCAGCATTTGGTAGGTAGAATGTGCCCATGTGTGAATGAGGTTGTGGCTGCTGCCCATGGGGGCACTTTTGATGCCGATTCCACTTGGATGCAAAATGAAAGCAGGACGTATCTACAAGCAGGGCACAGCACGGGAGCAGGCTGAAGCATCGCCGTGTGCCTGCACGCTGCTGGAGCCTCACTGCTTGTGCAGAAATGCTTTGGAGCCGGTCCCTTCCTTGCTCTCCCGCTTCATTTCCTCTGTTCTCCAACGTGACTGTGAGCAATCCCTTGTTTCTCCAGCCTCCATCTGCTCTAATTGGGCTGGAAGCCCCTGAAAGGTTTTCAATGCCTGAGATACTCATCCAGCGCTGAGCCTCTGTGACAAGCACAGGTGAGGTCCTCTCTGCTCCCGTGGTCCTGGCTGCTGCCACCGGTTCAGTCCCATCCTTTCGGCAGCAGCTCTTAATCACTGAGCTGGTTTTGGAAGGGCTCCAGGGTCAGAGAAATAAAGGAACTTCAGAAAAGGGGGAAAAGTGGGGAAAGGAATCGCTTCTTAAAGGACTTCTTACTTCTGAAGATGTACTTGCTGCAGGTTAACCTTTGCTCTGTGATTGCTTTGATCGATTCATGCTCCTCACAGCAGTCAGAGGGCTTCTGTGGGTCATGGTGGTTCCTCTCTTAAGTGTTCTTTTTCCCTGCAAAGCTCTTTTGGTTGAGGGAAACCCGGTTCTTGCAAGAAATGCAAGTGAATTGTTGGAGGGAGTCCAGAGGAGGCCACGAGGATGATCAGGGGCTGGAGCAGCTCCTGTATGGAGCCAGGCTGAGGAAGTTGGGGCTGTTGAGCCTGGAGAGGGGAAGCTGCATGGAGACCTCAGAGCAGCTTCCACTGTCTGAAGGGGGCTACAAGGATGCTGGAGGGGGACTCTTCATCAGGGACTGGAGTGATAGGACAAGGGGTGATGGGTTCAAACTGAAACAGGGGAAGTTCAGGTTGGAGATAAGGCAGAAGCTCTTCCCTGTGAGGGTGCTGAGGCGCTGGCACAGAGTGCCCAGAGAAGCTGTGGCTGCCCCATCCCTGGCAGTGTTCAAGGCCAGGTTGGACACAGGGGCTTGGAGCAAGCTGCTCTAGTGGAAGGTGCCCCTGCCTGTTGCAGGGGTTGGAACTGGATGAGCTTTAAAGTCCCTTCCAACCTAAACCGGTCTGGGGTTCTATGAGTCACACCAACCCTTTTGCTTTCTCCATCTCTCAGATTATCCATCTTTGTGCTTTACCACTGTGGCTTCTTACTTCCCTTCCTGGTTTGCAACCTGCTACCAAGTTAAACCTGTCCCACATTCCTCTGCAATCCATGACGAATCCTGGTTTTGGGGTTGATATTGGTCCTTCTGTGAGAACGATGCACTACGGGGTTGGGAAGTCTTGCCCTCAATAAGTCTGTTGGTGTCTTCCATGGGGTCCTACCCAGGGGACCATCTGTGGTTGCACTAACTGCTTCATGTAACTCCATGTAGAGACCTTCTGTGGCTGCCCTTTGTACAGCAGCAGGGATAGACCCACAGCCAAGGGGGAAACAACCCCCTGGCCGTGGTGGCCTTGTCCTGTCCATGCTGCTGGCTGAGTGACAGCGAGCATCCCTGATCACCTCTGTTCCCTGTGGAGAAAGGGACGAGAGGCAAGTGGCCAAACCCCCTGTTTGG